TATTTCAATTCAAGCTCTAATTTCATCGTTAATAACAGTCACATCAAATAGTAATTTTTTGAAAGCAATAATCACACATTTGAAACACTTGAGAGAGCAATAAAACACAACAGTGACGAGTATATTTTCTATTTTATTTTTTCTTATTTTATCTTTCCGATATTAATTTTGATGCCCTTTCCGACATCTGTGACCTAGTCACGGCTGTTTCATATTCTGACAGAACAGGTACTGGATATAATTTTAAACAGCAACAGACGATCGATGGCAACGAGATATTCTCAAAGCTACCATGTGTTGCTACGAAGATCCATTGGAAGGAATAGAATAAAAATCAGAGGCAGTCCTAGACACCTTACAATTCCAGTCACGGTGTCGTTTCGCAAAATATCGTCGACTCGTCGCTATTTACACGTTGGCTTTCGCTCGTAAATCGTCAAAAGGTTCTATCTCGTGTACCTTAGAATTTACTGACGATCGTGCCGTGATGGTACCGATAGATAAAATACAATTCCGTCGTTTCCGATGATGTACGATGAAAGAGACAATTGCGAAAATTATACGTTTCTGCAGAGTCGCTTATCCGGTGCTTTCCCTTTTCTCCTTATTTTTAAAACAAGACGTTTGGTCGTTACGATTTCTATAGATTCAAAAATGATATCTGGAGTTCTAACTCATATTTCAGCATTTCTGTTTCCAAGGAAGTATACTGTAAAATGCACGGGTGCTAAGAATGATTCAATGCTTCTAAACGCACATTCTGTAACACTAGTTTGTTCTAAATATCAAGATTACATTCTTTTAACCCTTGCTTGATTAAAATAATTTAATTTCTTGATCTATGAAATGAAACATTTAGTTTCGTTTTTATAGGTATACGAGACTTGAATTATTAATAACCCAATTACTTTTTTAATAAAAGTAAATCGAAAAGAATTCTTCAGAGGTTACATTTCCGACGAAATCGACTTCGTTGATTTATTTCGAACGTGCACGATTGAGTACAACTTGGTTAACGTGTTTGTTCATCATTCACTATTTCTACTTGCTCTGGCGTTTGTAAATATTGACGTTGGCATAGTACTATTTGCATTCTATCGATTTTGTTATCTTCTGACTAGTTAGAACCAGTTGCTAAAGATATTACCATACGACCATTTATCCATAGAGACTCTGACACGAGTAGAAGTGGTAAGTAATGGTCAGACACGCTGGCCAATTACGATAGTATTCAATCGCAAGAGTATTCGACGAATTCAAACAATTTTAATTGCTCGAAATGTAGCTCCGTACGAAACAATTTTTAATCCCCAGTTTTATTTCATTTTTAAATGAAAAATTACTCCATTTTGCATAACGAATTCCAACGTGTACTATACAGGGAGTTTCAAACGTAAATAATCAAACTCAGGAAAAATGTATCAATAGAAAGACTTGAAAGTATGAGAAATAAAGCGAAAAAGTTTGCAGTTTTGTGAATAAACATTATAATTTCTATCAATCGTTTCGACTTTCAAATTTGTGTTATTAAATTAAACTAAAATTCGATTTATTTTTGTAAAACGTTACAGGTACTTGTCTAAGATTATCACAATTCCCTTTAATATTAATTATATTAATCCAAGAAAATTGCCAGACGTTGTACCATAGTCAATAAACATGGACGATGTCTGAATAATCGAGTGATTAATTTGTTCTTCACAAATTGCCAAATACACTCCTCGTTTCAGTGTGTCCAAGTAGGAATCCTTGGCGAAACTTTTTCCTTCGCTCAATAGTTCACGAGGTATTGGACCGAATAGGTTTTTCACCCCCAACTTCGAGAGTTGTCGTGAACCTTTCAATACGGACGTTTGCTGACAAAAGATACGTCTCGAATATTTTTGTGAAAAATGCTTCGCGCGACAGATACCATTTGAATCGACGATTGTCACTCGGAGATATTTGCTCGCGAAAACATCGCGAGGCATTACAAAAATTGTCTGGCAGAGATCAGAACAGGAAACGACGCAGAGTGCTACGAATCCCGAAAAATGCGACAAAAATCGTCACGCCAATGCTTCATCATTTTTTCCATTAAAAATGATGATATTCTGGGTCGTGAAATTTGTTTTACGATATCATTTAGCTTGTAAATATTTAAAAATGTTAATAGCAGCACATTTCCGCTTGTATAATATTATATTGTATTTCATTTTCGAAATAAAATACGCGTTTATTTATTTCAGTGCAAAAATGCTGTATAATTCTATTTATAAATACATCAGATAATAACGAGTTTTTTCAGTATGATAAAAAATCATTTAACTGGACGTTTTGGTGTCTTCTGTCGTGGAATACGCATTGCAGCTTGTGAACTATTTCTAGTTATTGAGGGCATTTAGACGTGGTAGTTATTCCACGTTTAAAAATAATCGAAGAAAAGTGCGCGCGGCGAGATGGAGCAGCGAATCGAGTGAAAAGGCTCGAACTACTCCAAAGCGAGCATCAGCAGCTCAAAATCAATTCCTCGAACGAGAGAAAGGGGTCACTTTACGGGCCAGGAGTAGCTGATTAGGCTGAATATAGCTGTAAGTACAATTTATTAATTAGGAACTGTAGTTAGCTTTGCGCAGTGGTAAAAATCGCAACCAATGAAGTTTTATCGAGATATGATTACTGCTAGCTGGAAATTAAACGCATTTCTTGGGAACTAATAGTTCGATAGTCTTTCGAATTGTGGACATTTGATTACGTTTATTTTGAGAACAAAAATGAATTTAACTTTAGCATGAAAATGAAAAATCTGCTTAAAGTTTTTGCCATTTCTATTATTTTTGATGTTTTCTTTACATTTGGGGCTCCAGTAACACCATAACTCTTGTGCTTTAAATATTTATTTACTTTCTTTATGCGAGACAGCTACCAGTGGAATGGACAATGGAATCATGTCAAAGTGATAAGATAGCATTTCCTTAGACGTCTTGCACAGCTTTGTTTATTTTCTAGAAAATTATATTATGGGCACAAAATGATTTATACATGGTCCTCAAATTGACTTTGTACAAATTTTAAAATATTTCGACGCTCTTAGCGTTTCAGACAATTATCACGAGCCATTTAATTATCACTTTAATTCTTTGTTGAAGAAATTCCAATAATGAACTAAATAGGTACTCGTACAGAGCAGATTGAATTTTTAATGGAATATCAGCTTAATTTTTAAATTAAGCTGGACTGCTTTAGCTTACTTAATTACCCATTGACGTTTCGATCTTAATTTTCGCATCCTCTTTACGAATTATATTTCAGATGATTAGAACATCGTAACATCATAGATGATAATAAAATCATTCACAATTTCAGATATGTACCAAACATAAATATACAAAGAATTAACTTGTACATTTAAAAGACTAATTTCGAAAGTATATCATAAAATCTTTTAATATTTGCAGACGTATGTCACAACATTCAACAACGTTTGAAGTAATTTGATTTTCGGATCAAGATCTGATTCACTATTTGCCTCTATTTCATACTACGTAAAAATTACGTTGTAAATGTTACTACGCCGTCCTAAGCCATTCTTATCAACACATGACCGATTTTATCATTTCCCCACGCGACAAGAAATATCCCTTCCTTCAAATTGATCAAAATAATGGATAATACTTATAATTTTATGAAAGTGGAAATTAATTATCGTGTTCTTGCACAATTACTTTAAATACTTTTCGTTTTTTTCTGATCTTTCCTTTGTTATTTTGTTATTTTCTTATTTTTCACCTTTTACGTGAACCACCAACCACGTTCCTCGACGATTGTTCAAATTATAACGTGGCAAACAGAAGTATTCAATAACTCAATGGACTCCTAATTCAGTGCACTTCGAATTTTGCATCATTCTTTGAGACAGTGTCCGTAATATTCTACGAATCTTAAAACATGTTCTCAATTAAAAACGATGGTCACCAGTGACTACTGTAGCAACCACCCTGTTCACAATTAAGTGATGGCAAGACAGAGTTAATAGTTTCAGTATTAAATTTATGTTAACCCTTTGCACTCGGATGTCTCCTACGAGGGTAAGTTTAATAAATTTTGTTAATGACGTGATAAATTAGTGATAAAGGATCACATGTTTGCAGTGACGTCAATGCTTCAACAAAAGCTACAAGAATTTATAATCGAGTCTAATAATACCAAAAAAGACACGTTTCCATAGTTAGACTATTTATGCGATTCCTGTTCGCGCATTTTTCAACGAGGTGGTGCAGAGTACAAAGGGTTTTGATACATAATAATGTCCAATTATGAACGATATTCTCGCTAATCGTTAATAACGCAAAATGTCCAGATCCTTGGAAGTTGAAAACGTATCCCTGGACCGAGTCCCGACCACCGTGATGACGAGAGCGTCGACGAGGGCGCAACGATCCCCCTCCCCCGGCAATACGGGGTGCGCACCATGGCACGGTGGTGGTCGTTTAACGAAAAGGGATGAACCACGGTGGCGCCGCACACGGTCAAAATACGAACGAAAGCTTGCGCCGGAACCGCGCAGATCGTCCTCAGTAGTTGCCCAGACGCTGTCACGGGCGTAGCTGGATGCTGGGTTGTCTCTCTCTCTCGTGCGCGCGCGTGCCGCAGGGAGGTGCTTCCTTTTCTTCTTCCTTTTCCTCCTAACCTCGTCCACTACCGCCTCCATCGTCGACGAAACCGTCACCGGACTCCGTGGACGTCGGCGATCCAAGGGTGCTGGCGGAGCAATCGTACTGCCCCGTCGTCTCGGTAACCAAGCGAGAAGAAGAAAGGGCTCCGGAGAAAAGGAAGGCCGACGATAACGTTTTCCTGCCGGTCGAGGAGAGAGAGAGAGAGAGAGAGAGAGAGAGAGAGAGAGAGAGAGAGAGGAGAGAGAGAGAGAGAGAGAGAGAGAGAGAGAGAGAGAGAGAGAGAGAGAGAGAGAGAGAGAGAGAGAGAGAGAGAGAGAGAGAGAGAGAGAGAGAGAGAGAGAGAGAGCTGGGGGTGGGTGGATTGACAAGGATAGATTGCCCAGAGGGGGACAGAGAGAAAGAGACCGGTAGGCCAAAAGTGCCCGACGGTGACAGAGAGAAATAGACGAGTAGAACCCAGATGAAGGCTCCGAGAACGCGGAGAGATTAAATGTAAAAATCGTCGCGGTCCAGGGGTGGAGATGTGTTGAAAGTGGTGTTTCTTTGTGTGTATATATATGGTGCAGTGCGGTGCTGGTGCTCAGAGAGAGAGAGAGAGAGAGAGAGAGTATGGCGTGGTCGGATTTCGCGTGCACCTCGCCGTGACGTGGAAAGGTAAGGCAACCCCCGACGTTTAACTTTTCCTTATCGACGTTAGACGTCGTTAAGCGCGGATATCACCGCCTTCCTGTTCGTGGCGGCTGAGGATCGAGTTTCTTACTCGATTGGCGACGGTGGCTGCCCGCCGACACCGATAATTGGCTTCGATTCGAGCGATGATCCGTCTGTCGTCGGTCAGTCGCCGGTGCCGCGTGCGCCTCCTCGTCGTCTGGCTCTATCTCCTACGCGACTACTGCCACGGCTCGTTTACGTGACAGCGAACGCCAGGGGTGATTCGCAAGGGGCATAGGTCTCACGATTTCTACACGTCCCAGCTGTTACTCGATACCACCGTCAAGGAATCGCCGAATTCGAACGTCCGCGAGTTTTTGCATTTCTTGATGTTTTTAAGTGATCTGAGCTCAAAAATACAAAAATTATGGTTAGTAGATTCTGTAGGCGTGTTTGACTCTATCGTAACGTATGGAAATCGGTGATATAGTAAGTTATATGTATGGGGTATTTATGATTTGTAGGTGCGTGTATGCGTGCGTTGGCAGCTATTCGATTCGTATGTTAACATACGAAACACTCATAACGCTAATTATTTAACACGTTGGTCGCCACGTCACCCAGAAATGTGTGACAGGACCTTTCAGTTAGAAACTAAAAGAATTAATTTCAAAGGTGAAACGATAATGATAATAAATTTGGATACCCAATGTGAAATTGTCTAATCTTTGACAGTCTCGAGACAAAATTTTAACTTGGTAGAAATTTCCACGAATTTTAGTCTGCCAGCCAACATGTTAATAAGCCATTCACTGTTCTACTTTATGAACTCCTATATGTAGGACATCGATGTCCTTAAGTTTGTTCAAAAATTTTCCATTAAAACACAGCCATGGAAGTTCTATGTATAAAGGGCTCATGTATGTGTGTATGTATGTTGAGGTATGTTAGTTTCATACCTCAGAAATGGTTTACCACAATGTAGTGAAATTCAGTATACGTCTACATTAAACTTTTGGAAAAATTTAATTAGAGATTGGAGTGACGGTGGTATAAGGAGTGCCATATTTTGTTTTCTAACGCAGAGTAACGTTGAGAGGTAGAATGCTTTCTCCGACGTGGAAGAATAAATATGAAAGCTAAAAGTGCACTCTCATCCTTTTAATTAAGGCAGGGTTCTGGTTTGTTTGGATGAAAAATCGACTTACTTATTAAATGCATTTTCTAACATCTTGAGATTTAATGACTACGTCCATAAAATTTTATGGCTTTTTAAGAGGACACTAGACAGATCTGCGTATGCTACTTAAAATCTCAAAGGCGTGTTCAACGTGTGCAAATCAATGGTTCGCGTCATCATTTTTGTTTTATTAAGCAAAATTAATTTGAAGGGAATAAATGATTTATTTGTGGTCAAAGGAGCCTTAGTAGTTGAAGAAAAGAACTTGTTTTTCATCATTAAAAGCTTCTTCAGGCTTCAAACAGGAGATCATTTTATATTCTAAATTAAAGGAATTGAACATAATAATAATTCTATATCTTGGACATCGATGAAACAGAATGACGCACGTTTGATAGTTTTCGCGACGCTGCAGGTGTGCGAAGGATCGAACGTTTCAATTTGAGGGGGTTAAGTGAATAAGTGGACTAGCATGTTGAAGCAAAAACAGCGGGATAGGAGGGCGAAATGTAGGAAGAATTTAACCTGATTGCTAATATTGGTAACGTTCTGACCTATTTGTATCGTTGCAGCAGAAGCACGTCGAATACCGCGTGGATAGTCCGTGGTGCGCCATATTTACTAGAAAACATGCATTAAACACAGAAGCATATTGAAACAAACAGGAATTTAACGCTATCGCTATCATTGGTAACGTTACGACCTGTTTTTATGGGTGTATCGGAAACACGTTAAGCTTCGCCATATTTACCAGACACTTTTATTCGGTGGATCACCATGGTGAAGTTAACATTGAAACTATCAAGGACAATGCAAATCGATCATACATATCTTTATAATTAAAGATAGGAGGAGCAAATAGTGATTATAAAAAGGAATTTGAAGTACATGGATGAAATTAACTGGCTTGGTAGTCTTAGTGTTGAACTGTAGTGGTAGCACAGGAATCTTATTATTTGATGCATACTATTATGAATTATAGAAAACCAAAACGAATAATGTATCTTTTTATTAGGTTGACATTGAAAACCGAGGCAGAAAAGTATTTATTTACTAAATTCCGAATGGATTGTCGTACGAGTCTTACGTGTAACGCCATTGACGTCGAAATTTTTCCACTCGAACCTCAGCTGAGTTACCATTTTAGTTAGAGCGAACGAAGCGGAGGTAGAAACTTGTTTCGATGACCCACGCGCTGTGTAATCCGATCCCGAGGAGTACTCCGTGATATTAAAGCCATCGCATCGTTCGCATTACTCGGAAACTCTGAAAACACAGAACCATACTCCTTTAGAACAATATCATATGTTTGTTAACTTTCCGCGTTACATGTGCCATTTTTACAATATACTGGATCATAACACTACCCTAAAATACGTCAAGTTAATACGCTAATTTGACAAATAAGTATACAGGTATTACAACTTCGTCAGCTTCACGAGTAATTTAAAAAAGACATACATTTTATATACACAATTAAAAAGAATATAAATTTTTGAGTTACGTTTGCTTGTAGAGCAATTCTTTTCTCATCTCAATAATTTTTTCAATAGAATTCAAACGTTCAGAATTGCATAATTGCATACCAATAAAACGAACACCGATATGTAGATGAATTACACTTTACGTAAAGTGAAAAGCAGAGCACTTACAAGTTCCATTGTACCCCGACTCTTGTAAGTCCACATTGGGATATCATGTTCGTGAAAAACATATCTCCTTCGTTGTTTACGATAAACGAACAGAGGTGACGTGGCATGGAACTCGTATTCGTTAAACGCACATCACGAAACCGTGTAAAGCGTTCGCAGAGTACATTGCGACGTGCTTTGTATCTCGAAAACAATTTTTCATCAAGTATACTCAAAGTCCCTCCCTAATGTACGCGCACGCACCGCTCTCTCGAATATACACCGATCCAAACGATATATCCATTCGAGGAGAACCACCCCGTGTAGAACTGGATTATGCCGATCACGTATTTGCACGCGACGCACATTACAGATTTATATTTTTCGAAATCCACTCACGTAGCGGAATTTGTATAATATTCGTACGAACTAGACAGATGCAATATTGAGCTTTATCGAGTATCGGACTTCAAAGTACCGGTTGAACGTCACCGTGCACCCGCTAATAAATTGCACCAGCCGAGTATCGAGGCTGATATTACAATTGATAAGTTATCAGCGGTAGCTTTGTTGCTCCTTGAAGTCGCTGAGTGCGATCGGCGGCATTGTTACCCGATTCGCCTAGATTTATGCGATTCATATTCGTTTCTGGTATTTATGCATAACGTTCAATGCCAAGAAACATCGATATAATATTCATCGACGGTGCACACCAAGAAATGTTGATGCAACGTTCATTGACGTCGACGCTGTAATAATAAAACGCGTGAAATGTGGCTGAAACACTTCTATTTTTAGTCGGTTAGACATAATCATGCCAAAGCTATGACTCGATAAAGTCTACATATTCGTTATGTACAGACTGTGGATGCTTCTGCCAACTCATGCTTAATTATATCTATTAATACATAAAGAAATGAAAATTAAATGAAAGTGTCTAAACAGTGCAACATATATTTTTGGAACGTGTGCATATTACCCATTTTTTTTTCTAAATATCCAGTTGTTAAAACTTCATAAACTTCTACAGTCATTTGTTACAGTTTCTGGAAGTGATTCGTTCAATCAGAAAATACTTGAAGCTATAATACTCCGGGAAAAGTATTCAAAAAGCTTCAAATGTTCTTGCATAGTGGTGAAATCAATATTAAAATGCAATCTTGCAATAGAAAATAGTGAGCCACCCCAGTAGTTGAAAAGCAATTATATTTAAAGAAATTAAGTTTGCCGTAATCATCTCGCAGCACATGCAGAAATAATTGCCGCGAAGCTGAAGTTTTGAGAGACTTCTCTTACCAACTCTTAGAAAGATGCAGCATAAGTACCTGGAATAATTGTTGTTGTTCTTAAGTACTCGAAATGAAGTGCGTCATTGAAAACTTTGATATTGCTAATACAATCCCGTTTTGACAGACATACGAGTAAGCTTTTTAATTCCGGCTAGAGTTACGTTATAATCTAATCAATTCTCATGCAAATAATTCAACATAATTGTTGGCAGCGATATACTGAATTTCTCTCTTCCTTAGAATCTAAGCTCGACGACGTTTCTGTACATATTTAGTTTCCACAATGAAGACTGATTTTGAATACACTTATTAATTACACTTAATCAATTCATTAGTCGATGCAGGCAGGTGTTCATTATATAATGTGATCCTTGTTTTGAGCCACCTTTGGAATCACACGATAGACAATATCGCACTTAATTAACTCATTAGTCGATGCAAGCAGGTGTTTGCAATTTAATATGATTTATGTCTTGATCCAGCTTTGGAGTTACATAATAGTCATAAATATGCAAAGACAACTTGAAAGACACAGATTGAAAGTCGCAAGTATTCACAAGAATCAAACGTTGAACCAGTGAATCCTTCAGCCACCGTTCTTCAAAATTACAAATTCAAAAATCCATTTATCTCTATTCTCACCTAACTCACTCTCGATCTAACATACGTATTTCAAATAGAATTCGCCCAACTATTTCCAATCAAAAAGTCGTACAATTTCGCTCACTGAGTTCACGAGGATCGACGACGAGACACCCTCGAAATTCTCACGAGGACTTGTCTAATAAGATTCTCGTTTCGGAGCCGCAACGTATGCCTGACGCGCGCTTATCAACGTCACAAACGAGCAGCTAGCGTATGGCGATAACGCAGTTAGTGTGCGACCATGGCGTGGTTTAGAAC